CTCTCATCTTCCCTTCCACAGGCCTGCTACACATGCAGTTTGGTGTTGGAGAAGGCCTGCTACACATACATTTTTTTTCTTTCTTTCTTTTCTTCTTCTTCTTTTTTTTTTTTTTTTGGAAAGACAGGGTCTCTGTCATCCAGGCTGGAGTGCAGTGGTGCAATCATAGCTCACTGCAGCCTCAGCTCCCAGGCTCAAGCCATCCTCTCAGCCCAGCCTCCTGAATAGCTGGGCTACAGGTGTATGCCACCACATCCAGCTAATTAAAAAAAAAATTAAGAAGGGGTCACAGTGTGTTGCCCAGGCCGGTCTTAAACTCCTGGGCTCAAGTGATTCTCCAGCGCCCAGCTTAAACATAAGATTTAAATAAGATCCAGTCTCGTGGTGTCATACTCGATATATTCAAGATACAATTTTTAAAAAATCACTTGTCATACCAGAAAAATCAACTTGAATGGGAAAAACCAATGAACAGACACCAACACTGAGATGACACTGATCTTGGAATTATCTGACAAGGAATTTGAAGCAGTAATGAACATGCTTGAAACAAATGAAAAAAACAGTTTCTCAGCAAAGAAACAGGAGATATAAAGAATAACCAAGGTGTGGTGGTGCATGCCTTTAGTCCCAGCTGCTCAGGAGGCTGAGGTGGCAGGGTCACTTGAGCTCAGGAGTTCAACTTTGCAGTGAACCGTGACAGTGCCATTGTACTCCAGCCTGGGTGACAGAGCAAGACAAGACCCCATCTCTTAAAAAGAAAGTAAACAGGCTGGGTGAGGTGGCTCACACCTGTAAACCCAGCACTTTTGGAGGCCAAGGTGGGTGGATCACGAGGTCAGGAGTTCAAGACCAGCCTGGCCAAGATAGTGAAACCCCGTTATCTACTAAAAATACAAAAATTAGCCAGGCATGTTGACGGGTGCCTGTAATCCCAGCTACTTGGGAGGCTGAGACAGAGAACTGCTTGAACCCAGGAGGCGGAGGTTGCAGTGGGCCAAGATGGCACCATTGCACTGGGCGATAGAGTGAGACTCCATCTCAAAAACAAACAAACAAACAAACAAACAAAAAATGGAAATCTTAGAACTGAAAAATACAATAACTGCAATAAAAAACTCGATGGATTCAATAGCAGAATGGAATGTACAGAGGAAAGAATCTGTAAACCTGAAGATAAAACAATAGAAATTACCCAATCTGGGCCAGGCACAGTGGCTTACGCCTATAATCCCAACACTTTGGGAGGCCAAGGCAAGAGGATCACAAGGTCAGGAGATCGAGACCATCCTGGCTAACATGGTGAAACCCCATCTCTACTGAAAATACAAAAAAATTAGCCGGGCATGGTGGTGGGCGCCTGTAGTCCCAGCTACTCTGGAGGCTGAGGCAGGAGAATGGCGTGAACCCGGGAGGCAGAGCTTGCAGTGAGCCGAGATCGTGCCACTGCATCCAGCCTGGGCGACAGATGAAGGCTCTGTCTCAAGACAAAAAGAAAAAAAGAAATTACCCAATCTGAACAACACAGTGGAAAAAAGACACAAACATCAAAATCAGAACTTCAGGACCCTGTGGGACTAAAACAAAAGAACTAATATTCATGTCATTGGAGTTTCAGGAGGGGAGGAGACAAAAGGTGGTGCTGAAAAGTATTCCAATAAATAATGACTAAAATTTTCTCAAAATTGGCAAAATACATAAGCCTGTAGATTCAAAGAGCTGAGAGAACCCCAAATAGGAGAAACACAAAGAAATCCACACCAAGACATGTCACAGTCAAACTTCTGTAAATTAATGGCAAAGAAAGAAAATCTTGAAAGCTGCAAGAGATAAATGCCATCTTACCTATAGGGGACAAAAGCAATTTGAATGACAGCAGATTTCCCATCAGAAACTGTAGTGGTAAGAAGAAAGTGGTATAACATTTTTCAAGTGTTAAAAAAAAAATCCGGCCAGGTGCAGTGGCTCACACCTGTAACCCCAGCACTTTGGGAGGCTGAGGTGCATGGATCACCTGAGGTCAGGAGTTTAAGACTAGCCTGGCTAACATGGTGAAATCCCATTTCTACTAAAAATACAAAAATTAGCCAGGCATGATAGTGTGTGCCTATAATCCCAGCTACTCAGGAGGCTGAGGCAGGCGAATCACTTGAACCAGGGAGGCAGAGGTTGCAGTGGGCCAAGATCACGCCACTGCACTCCAGCCTGGATAACAGAGCCAGACTCTGTCTCAAAAGAAAAAAAAAAAACAAAAAAACCCATTCTATACCAATTCTATATCTAGTGAAACTATACTTCCAGAATGAAGGAAAAATAAAAACACCCTGAGACAAAGAACAACTAAAAGAATTTGTTTTCAGCAGATTTATCCTACAAGAAAGGCTAAAGGAAGTTCTTGAAACGGAAGGGAAATGACAAAAGAAGTCTTGCAACATTAGAAAGGAAGAAAGGATAATGAAATAAGTAGAACCATGGGTAAACATATATACTTTCCTTCAACCCTTGAGTTTTCTAGGTTTATGTTTGACAGTTGAAGCAAAAAGTATAACATCATCTCATGTGGTTATCAATCTATGTAGAGGAAATATTTAGGAAAACTAAAGGGGTTTGAAGGCAGGTAAAGTGTCTATATTTCACTTAAACTGGTAAAATATTGATACCAATAGATTGTGAAAAGTTATGTATGCGTAATACAATACCCAGAGTGCCACTAAAAATCTATACCAAGAGATGTAAATTCAAAAATACTATAGATAAATCAAAATGGAATTCTAAAAATTGGTCAAGTAACCCACAAGAAAGCAGGAATAAAAACCATGAGAAACAAAAAAACAGAAGGAACAGACAGAAAACAAAAATTAAAATGGTAGACTTAAGCTCTTAATATATCAACATTTACTCTAAATATAATGGTCTAAATATGTCAATTAAAAGACAGAGTAAATAAAGAAACATGACCAAACTACATGCAAGGGCATTACGCTGCAGTAGGGGAGAAGGCCAGTCTCAAAAGGTCACATGCTGGATGTTTTCATTTATATAACCACGCCAGTTTCCTACGAAGCACCATAAACTGGGGGGGCTTAGAATGACAGAAATTTATTGTCTCCCTGTTCTGAGGGCTAGAAGTCAGAAATTAAGCTATTGGCAGGGCCGTGTTTCCTTGGAAGGTGCTCGAGAAGGTCCTTCCTTGCCTCTTCCAGCTTCTGGTGGCCCCAGATGTCCCCTGGCATGTGGCAGCATCCACTTTCCACGTGGCGTTCTCCGTGTGTCACTTTGCATAGTCTTCCCTCTATGTGTGTCTGTCTCTGGGTCCAATTTCCCCCTTTTCATAAGGATACCCTAATGACCTCATTTCAACTTGATTACTTCTGCAAAGACCCTCTTTCCAAATAAGACCACATTCTGAGATACTGGGCGTTAGGAGTTCAACATACAATTTTTTGGGGGGGACACAATTCAATCCTTAACAATAACATTTTCATATTGACAAAAGTATAGAGATAGAGAGCAAATTAGTGGTTAGGGATGGTGGGTATTAGGGGGTTGTTGTGACTATAAAAGGGTAGCATGAAGGAGATCTTTGTGACAATAGATTATTTCTACATCTCAAGTGCTGTGACAGTTACATACATGTACAATAAAATGGCACAGACCTATATACACATTAGACCAATGTCAATGTGCTGATTTTGATGTTGTGCTATAGTTATGAAACACCTAATTACTGAGGAAATTGGGTAAAGGATACATGGGACCTCTCTGTACTGTCTTTGCAACTTTCTGTGAATCTATATTTTAAAGTAAAAGTATGACATATGTATATGGACATACTCACACTAAGACACACAATTAAGCAGTTTCAGAAGACAAAAAGGGCTGGCACTGTGGCTTACACCTGTAATCCTAGCACTTCGGGAGGCTAAGGCAGGAGGATCACTTGATCCCAGGAGTTCAGGACCAGCCTGGGCAACATGGCAAAACCCTGTCTCTACAAAAAATATAAAAATTAGCTGGGTGTGGTGGTGTGCACCTGCAGTCTCAGCTACTAGGGAGGCTGAGGCAGGAGGATCACCTGAGGTCGGGAGTTCGAGACCAGCTTGACCAACATGGAGAAATGCTGTCTCTACTAAAAATACAAAATTAGCCGGGCGTGGTGGTGCATGCCTGTAATCCCAGCTACTCGGGAGGTTGAGGCAGAAGAATTGCTTGAACCCAGGAGGCAGAGGTTGCAGTGAGCTGAGATTGCGCCCTTGCACTCCAGCCTGGGCAACAAGAGCGAAATTCTGCCTCAAATAAATAAATAAAATAAAAAAGGAGACAAAAAAGATTTTATAAGCACTTGGAGAAACAAAAAACAGGTCGCATACAAAGGTTCAACTTGTATGAAAATAAAAGACGATAGAACAATGCCTTCAAAACTCTGAAGGCAAATGATTTTTAGCCTAGAATTCTATACACAACCAAACTACCAGTCATGTGTAAGGATAAAAAAAGGTAGAAAAAATATATCTGCAGACATATGAGATCTCAAAAATAAATCTCCCATTGACCTTTTCTCGAGAAGCTACTAGAGGATGCACTCCAGCAAAACCAGACAGCAAATAAAGGGAGAGAATTCAGGAGACAGGGATCCAACCGGGAGAGGGAACAAAGAACTCACAGAATAAACAGCAGTACTGAACCTGGTTGGTTAACAATGAGCAAGCATCCTGCTTGTAACTGCCACGGGAACAGCGAAGCCTGGGGGCTCCTGAAGGGAGGCTCATGACCTGCATTTGAAGAGCACCTGCGGCGTAGTAGGAGACCTCAGGATTGGTCACACCTAATCCCAGGAACCCCATCTCTTTTGTATATCACTGTGGGATCCTAAATGGTGGAATGCAGGTGATAACCACATTTCTCATTTGGTGCCATCGGGAGGACTAGTGATGGCATATGACGGGCAGGTGGGTAGAAGGGGAGGAGCTCTAAACTCCATGTGTCCGGCTCATTCTTACCTCTAGTTCCTGAATGGGCACAGGCTGTGACGGAAGGCAGGAAGCACACTTGATCTTTATGGTCAGGGGATTTAAATCCTGCTTTTGCTCCTCGGTCATGATTGGAACTTCTGTTTTTAAAGTCAAAAGGCAATCTAAAATGTTGGCAGACTTCTCACTGCCACGACTCATGACAGTTTGCCATCCTGGGGGGAAATACACCCAGCATTAGACCTTTCCTCATGACAGCCCCAAGACAAGCACAGAAGGATCAAGCAACCTGAGATGAGCCAATGATAAAATCACAACCCAAAAGGGAAAACTTTAATTAAAAAAAGAAAGAAAAAATCAGGAAACACGCACGGGCAGCATGTTCTGTGCTAGTTTCTCAAACTGAGAAAATTCTCTAGAATTGAATGTGTGTGACTTAATCTTGATCACATCTGTTAATAAGTAATACAAGCATTTCCTGAATCATCTGGGACACAACAGGAACACCTATGTGTGGGTGCCACTCCCAGACAGTCTGATTTCATTGGTCTGGGGTGTGGCCTCCACAATGGGAGGTTTAATAGCTCTCCAGGTAACTTGAGAACCAACATTCTAGACCTGTTGTGCTATCCACTATGGTAGCTATGGGCCATAGGTAGCTACTTGAATTGTAACTAATTAAAATTAAATAAAATATAAAATGCACTTCCTTCTCCACACAAGCCACATTCCAAATGCCCAGTACCCTCATGTGGCTATGGGCTCCTGTATGGGTCAGCAGAGAGCCTGGCCATTGCTGCAGGAAGGCTATTGGATGGAGTGCTCCGTGCAGTTCTCCCGTCAAGGACATATCATGCCAGTGTGTACATTTGGTACTCAGTGGGTTGCTTCACCTGTTGTGATCTGATGAGGAAAATACAGATATTGATGGAGAACACAACAGGCACATCTGAGCCAAATACAAGCGTGCACACCTCCCACCAGGATGGTTTTGCACTAGTGCGCCTCATGAAAAGGGTGGGTGAATGGAGCCATTGCAAGGCATATAGGTAGCTGTCAGAATACTTTTTCTTTTTTTTTTTTTGAGGAGGAGTCTCACTCTGTCGCCCAGGCTGAGCACACTTGGCCCATGACTTGTTTTAGAAGCGCCTACTCTTTCTCAATGTGAGTGACTTGGCTTTTACATGCCCTAGAAATGCATTTACAGGCATGTTGAAAGGAATAGACTGATCTTTTTGAGCACTATCTCATACATCATCTTTCTTAAGCTTTTAACCCCAAGGAAGGAGGTATCTATCCCCATTTTGCAGATGAAATTGAGCCTCGGAGACTCTAACTTATCACATGACGAAGAGTCAGATCTGGGATTCAAACCCAGGTCAATCCTGCCTCCAAAACTTGAGGGTTTTTTTTTTTTTTTTTCCCCCTACCTAGTACATCTCTGACTGGTGAAATACATGGATCCCTTTTATAGAAAAAGCATCCTGGGCCAGGCGTGGTGGCTCACGCCTATAATCCCAGCACTTTGGGAAGCCGAGGGGGGCGGATCACCTGAGGTCAGGAGTTCGAGACCAGCCTGACCAAAATGGAGAAACCTTGTCTCTACTGAAAATACAAAATCAGCCGGACATGGTAGCGCATGCCTGTAATCCCAGCTACTTGGGAGGCTGAGGCAGGAGAATCACTTGAATCCGGCAGACGGAGGTTGCAGTGAGCTGAGATCACACCTTTGCACTCCAGCCTGGGCAACAAGAGTGAAACTCCGTCTCAAAAAAAAAAAAAAAAAAAAAAAAAAAGACTACTCAAGGTAGAAGGAATCCCCAGTGCAAAAATACAAATTTTAAAAAGTGCTCAAATCATCAGAGTCAGGGAGACATGTACCAGAACAGAATTCCAGGCTGGGGGCTCACAGCCTCCATAGTGCCGACAGTTGGGGCAGGCCATTCTTTGCTCAGGGGACAGTCCTATGCATTGTGGCATGTTTAACAGTATCTTACCAGATGCCAGTGGCACCCCACTCTCAGTCGTGACAACCAAAATGCCTCCACACGCTGCCAAATGTCCCCAGCAGACACAAGTCCCCTGAGTTAAGAGCCCTGGTCGAGTAAGAGTGGAACAGTGCAAGGGAATGTTTGTGCTCCTGCTACAGCCAGTCCCAACATGTGCTAATGTCATTTCATCCTTAACCTTGTCTGGCTGCTGTCATTGCCACATTACAGATGGGGAAACTGAGGCCCAGAGTTCTGACGCAATCATCCAAGGTCTCTTAGCCAATACGCTGTGGAACCAGCATCCAAACCAGTTCTGTGGGGCTAAGTGGGGCCCCTCCGCTATGCAATACTATCCTTTTAAAATAAGAGTTCACTGCCAGACACAGAATCTTCCTAGAATCTTACTAGGTTACTAGCCAACCAATATTTACTAATAAGGTATACATGATCTATGGCCTAATTTGAAATTGAAGATGATTACCAAAAATAATTATGCTGAGTTTACAATAAATAATCTTATGCTATTATTTTCTGGCAAAACCAGACATACAACTGGCCTGCTGAGCCGACCTGTGCTCTGTTGACGACCATAGGCTGTGTCAGGGTATAATGGAGCGGCCCACACACATGGCCGCAGGAGGCAGCTGCTGCCTCCACACCAGCACCCTCTGGGTCCCACTGTGCTAAGCAATTTACACACATCAGCTCCTATGATCCTTAAAACAATGCTCTGAGGTAGGAGTGATCACCCCCATTTCATAGAGGAGGAAAGTGAGACTCAGAGAAAGCAGGTAACTTGCTGGTAAGTGACTGAGCCATGATCAAAGTGTTTTTGTCACCAAAGCTCTTACATATGAACCCCTGCATTGTACAGCCATGACGGTACAGGTTAAAGAGAGGGGAGGCTAGGTCAGGCGCGGTAGCTCACGTCTGTAATCTCTGCACTTTGGGAGGCTGAGGCGGGCGGATCACGAGGTCAGGAGTTCAAGACCAGCCTGGCTAACATGGTGAAACCCCATCTCTACTAAAAATACAAAAATTAGCCTGGCGTGGTGGCACGCACCTGTAATCCCAGCTACTCTGGAGGTTGAGGCAAGAGAATTGCTTAAACCCAGGGGGCAGAGGTTGTAGTGAGCCGAGATCATACCACTGCACTCCAGCCTGGGCGACAGAGCAAGACTCCACCTCAAAAAAAAAAAAAAAAAAAAAGAGAGAGGGGACTATGTCCTGGCTTCATTCTGCTGGAAACAGTCACGCCAGGCAGGCCAAGACAGTTGAACTTCTCTTTCCTCTCACAGTAAAATCCAAAGTGGGGCAGGTCCCATGGTACACTCCCCTAGGAGGATCATGGGTTCCTCCTTGGGACTCTAGGACAGAGGAAGCAGCTAGCAAAGGCGTTTGCTCAAAGTCACTGTGTGCAACAGGTATGCTGGAGTGTCAGGCTGGAGAATGGGGCGGGGGAAGACGCTCTTTAAGTTTACTCTCTGGCACTGTCACTTCTCAAGAAGGTTCTGATGCTACGAGAAAGTGAAGGTGGTCAGGAAGGACCAGCTGTAGGTGAAGTATGATTTTCAAAAAGTCATTTAAAACTGCAAACTGCCACGTGCGGCAGCTCACACCTGTAATTCTAGAACGTTGAGAGCCAGAGGCAGAAGGATTACTTGTGTCCAGGAGTTTGAGACCAGCCTGGACAACATAGCAAGACCTTGTCTCTACAGAAAATACAAAATAATAATAATAATAATAGCCAGGTGTGATAGTGTGCACCTGTAGTCTCAGCTATGCGGGTGGCAGAGGCAGGGGCTTGCTTCAGGCTAGAGTGAGCTCTGATTGTGTCACTTACACTCCAGCCTGGGTGAGAGAGCAAGACCCTATCTCAAAAAAAAAAAAAAAAAAAAAAGTGCAAACTGAAAAGTTAATAGCACTTTCTCACAATGAATTGACACCAACCCAAAAGCGCATGAGGAGGATGATGACTGGCACCTGTGGAAGTGAACTGGCAGCCCTGACTTATGGGGGTTTCGCCCCCTCCTCTATGAACACTGGTCCCAGTTCAGAAAAGACCAACGCACGCGCTTCTGCAGAGTAGCCAGGAGAGGGCGCACAAGACACGTGATGGCCAAAAAAATGAACAAAGTCTGAATTTTCTCTAAAAAGAAAAAAAAGCGGGGGAGCTCACCCCATATTACTCTTTTTTGGAACAAAGCAATATAATTTTACCAAAATATATGCTGAGATTTCCATCATCAAAACATACTGATATAATATTTAGTTAAGATTTACCAATATGTATAAAATCTAGTTCATAAATTGTGGTAGACCTTATAAAGCAAAAGAATTAAATCCCTGTTGGCCACTGAGTTATGTGGCCTTAGGAAAGTTACTTAACCTCTTTGAGTTCTTTTCCTCACTGAAAAAAATGGTAACAATGGTAACCACCACAGCCACCACACCACAGGTTGGCTGAGTGGCTCAGAATTTGGTCTGAGAAGTGATGTGTCATATGGGAGGTGCCTGCACCCAGAGGGGCTCAGTCAAAAAGGGTTCCCTTTCCTCATTCCCTTTACTAGATGTTTTTGTAAAAATCTGTAGGAAAGTATTTATTAAAAGCAGCATCTTCTTAGCAAACACAATGATGACATTTAATATTCCCATAGGCTTCCTTGGAGTTTGGAATCAAATAGAGCTGGGTTCAGGTCCAGACTTCACATTTCCTAGCTGTGTGATCTCAGGCAATGTAGCTACCCTCTCTAGGTCTTCGTTTCCCCCTGTACTATGGAGCCAATTCCCCTGAGTTTCCTGAGGTGGCTGTGAGATGAAATGAGGTGGCACACAGCAGGGTTGTCATTAGGAGCATCCGCTTATGGCCATTCTGGCAAGCTGGAGCTGCTGGGAACAGGGCAAGGAGTGGGTACCGGCAAGGAGCGGCATGACGGCCAGTTGGATGGAGAAAGCGCTCTGCTTCCTTAGGCCTGTCAGCGTGGGGTCTGCCTCTTCTTCTGCAGGGGGCTTCTTATGTCTCCTCTGGATTTTCTTTTTTCCCTCTGAATCTTTTCCTTTAACTATGAAATCAAATAAAGGAGATAAGCATTAAGAGGAGACTGTATCTGAGCTGCCACATGTGGACCTGAACATGCTACAGAGATTTGGGAAGGTTCCGGAAGCTCCTAGAAGGCAGGGGTTGTTCTTTGTGTGACTGCCTCTTCCCAGCAACCAGAAGTGGTGGCTAAATACAGATGGCAGGCCCGTTGCCAGTTATATGTAGTAATAAGGTAAGGGTCTCTTATTCCCCGCCTCTGCTAACTGAGAACACAGGTAGAAGAGGACTAAAGTCACCATGACATTGATGCCATAACACACTCAAGGCTCCCTCCAGTCAGCTCTTAATCTCAGCACAGGGTGGAGGGTGGGCTTTTTTAAGAGACCCTGCTCTTAAACAAAAGCCCACAGCCTGAGCCTCAGTAACCTCACCTGTTACATGAGGGCAACAGCACCTGCCTTCTAGGGCACTGAAAAGAGGAAATTAGCAACGCTACATAAAACATTCAGCTCAATGCCAAGCTCAGACCAGAAGGAAAAGGAGATGAGAACACATATAAATCTATGGTCATCAAGACTAATGAGACAGATGAGAAAGCCCAGGAACAGACCCAAACACATAGGGGAACCCAACAGATGCCAGAAGTGGCGTTTCAAATCAGTGGGTAAGTTATATTGACTATCCATATGGGAGCAAATTAAGTTACTGAATTATTTCATGGCGTATACAAAATGAATTACAGACTAAGAGTATAAAACAAAAACTTCAAAATCATCAGAAGAGTATCTAGGAGACTATACTGACATCTGGATGAAGAAGGATTTCTTTCTTTCTTTTCTTTTCTTTTTTTTTTTTTTTTTT